TATAGAATAAATAAAAAAATTCTTTGTTGAAAGATGAAATTTCACGAGCATCACGTTCTTCCTTAGAGTTTCCATAATCATGTACTGAAGTTCCAAATGATTCGGTGCACTTAATTTGGAGAAAAGTTTAATTAATATTTCCGCATTTTTATATATGGAATTATTCTGGAAACCCTAGGGAAGAACGCGATGCTCCTGAAAATTCATTTTTCCCCCAAAAATGTGATCTTGGTTCTAGTATAGAATAAATAAAAAAATTCTTTGTTGAAAGATGAAATTTCATGAGCATCATGTTCTTCCTCAGAGTTTCTATAATCATGTACTGAAGTTCCAAATAATTCGGTGCACTTAATTTGGAGAAAATTTTTATTAATATTTCCGCATTTTTATATATGGAATCACTTTAGAAATCCTAAGAAAGAACGCGAGGCACGTAAAAATTCATTTTTCGACAAAAATCTTGTATTTATCTCGGACAAGAACAAAAAAAAACATTTTTTGTCGAAATATGAAATTTTACGAGCATTGCGTTCTTTCTTATGACCTCTATAATCACGTGTTACAGTTTTAGATAATTCGGTGCACCCAATTCGGAAAAGAGCTTTATGAACATTTTCGCGTTTTGATACATTTAGAACGACTCTTTCATATCACCTTAATGGTGACTATGTACTGTAAATGAATTCTGTGATTTTAAGGGAGAGAAATTTTTCTAATGTTTATTCAAGTGCCAAGAAATTAAGTTAACAATCTGTTAATAATTTAGAATTTTATGGGGAATTAAATATTAACGGGGCCCCGCGGGTTGCCGATTACTCTAGTCGATTGAAAAGTAATTCCTTGGAGTGCTATTGAAAATAAGAATTGTAAAATTACATCGCTGTGATGAGTATTAGGTATAATTATTAAATAAATTAGAGGGAAGTCGGCATATCGCGGTGCTCTTTTCGTATCTTATCAGACACTAATGGAGGCACGAGTGGAATTTTTTAAGTCGAATTAATTTCGGGTTACCCCTCTTGTACCTGTACCGATAACACGAGATTAACAATTGCGCCCCACGTCTAATTATTGCACCGCCGATTCTTAACAATGAACGGCAACTTGAAAGAAAATAAGAGATGATAGAACAGTAAAATAATAAACAGACCTGAAAATAATTGCGAATAGTCCTTGTTCTCGTTTCCTTCACACTAAACAACAACTAGTCACGAGAGAAAATCGCTCGCAAAAATCGAAAGATTTAGACGAGGCGTGTACGAAATCTCCATCCGAGGTAAGCTCATCGAGCACTTTCGCGTGCTTGTTACGTGATCTGGTAACAAAGGAGTGACAAATTAATAATAAATAACCTAACAAACGAATATCTCGAATGGAACGAATACAGGTATTCTGGGGAATCTCGGTTGATTCGCGATACTCGGATACAATAGTCACATTGTCATTTCGCAAGGACCACTATTCACGATATACAGCGGTTATAGTAGATCGATCGAGATCGATCTTGAATTGAAACTCGAGGAAATCACGCCAGAACGTATACCTACACGTGCATTTATCGTCCACCTATCCCCCTAGTAGCATAAAATAATTTCTAACTATTTATTTGTAATCTTTGTCAAATATCTCAAGCGACAGATTTTTTAAGATTTCTTGTGGATTTCATACGAAGATATCTGAAANGCCCTGCAAAATCGCTGGAGTGGTGAGCGCCCTTAATCCACTTTTGATGAAATTTATCGAAATTTTCATTGAAATTTTCCTTAAGGGGTTACACCACTTTGAAATTTTCAAAAAAATTGTTACGCGTTTATTTGACGCGTTTATACTTTAAACGCGTTTTTCTTAAAACTGCATTTTAAAAATCGGTGGGCACTCTACCTCCGCCAATTTTCAATCAATCGTCTTGATTCTTTTTTTATTTTACTAGGAATAGTTTGGGAAACCCTCGAGTAGACAATTGTGACGCCAGGGTGACATCCGGACCTGCTGAAGGTCCTCCAGGTGATACGAAACCCGTTAAATAAATTGCAGGCACCTCCAATAGTAACATTAGAAAAAGAATAAAGTACTTTTAACAAAAGGCAAAAAATAAGCATTTTCTCGGAAATAAGTGAAAACGATTTCCTTCTTTATCGAGAATCGATTGCCCCTGATTTCATGACAAGCAACAATGCGATTCGGTAACAAGGGACATTCGATCGTAAAATGTTGAAAGTATATCGATGATTTGCAACGATTTCTCACGATTTCCACGTGACTTCGAGCATTAAGATGATATGAAAGGCGCTGAGAAGTTTAATTGCCGTCGATAAATTAAAATTCATATATCTACTTTTTGGGGGTAACGTCATTTTGAATACTCAAGTGGTAATATTAGCTGGCGCGTCGCGTTACCGACATTTATATGTATACTGAAATCTTTTACCGTCCACGTTGATAATCATACGAAATGAAACGTTTCATATGCCATTCTAGTAAAGTAATGATAAAGAGATTGACGTAAAACTGTCGAAATCCCGTAAATTCATCATTCTAGCGACTATTTAAGACCAACGTCGCCATCTGTGGCGTTTAGTTGCAACTAAATTTTTGCTCTGAAAATCTGTGTTAGCCCAAGAGAAACCAGCATTCTCTTGCAATCGTTGGTGAAAGTACTTTCCTTATTTTCCAATCTGATTCTATAATATCCTATTTCTACGGTATTCTAAATTGTTCGAGGTACGTCCTGAAACTCGTCATTTTCGATTCTAAACGAAATGAAGCGATCCATGTGTCATTTCGGTAAAGTAATGATAAAGAGATCGATGTAAGACTGTCGAAATCCCGAGATTTCATTATTCTAACGACTGTTTAGGACCAACGTCGCCATCTGTGGCGTTTAGCTGCAACTAAATTTTTGCTCTGAAAACCCGTGTTAGCCCAAGGCAAGCCAGCATTCTCTTGCAATCGTTGGTGAAAGTACTTTCCTTATTTTCCAATCTTATTCTATAATATCCTATTTTTACGGTATTCTAAATTGTTCGAGGTACGTCCTGAAACTCGTCATTTTCGATTCTAAACGAAATGAAGCGATCCTAGTGTCGTTTCGGTAAAGTAATGATAAAGAGATCGATGTAAGACTGTCGAAATCCCGAGATTTCATTATTCTAACGACTGTTTAGGACCAACGTCGCCATCTGTGGCGTTTAGCTGCAACTAAATTTTTGCTCTGAAAACCCGTGTTAGCCCAAGGCAAGCCAGCATTCTCTTGCAATCGTTGGTGAAAGTACTTTCCTTATTTTCCAATCTTATTCTATAATATCCTATTTTTACGGTATTCTAAATTGTTCGAGGTACGTCCTGAAACTCGTCATTTTCGATTCTAAACGAAATGAAGCGATCCTAGTGTCGTTTCGGTAAAGTAATGATAAAGAGATCGATGTAAGACTGTCGAAATCCCGAGATTTCATTATTCTAACGACTGTTTAGGACCAACGTCGCCATCTGTGGCGTTTAGTTGCAACTAAATTTTTGCTCTAAAAACACGCGTTAGCCACCGGACAAGTCAGCACTCACTTGCAATGGTTGGAGAAAGTATTTTCCATATTTTCCAATCTGATTCTATAATATTCCATTTCTACGGTATTCTAAATTGTTCGAGTTAGGTCCTGAAACTCTTCATTTTTTACTCTAAGCCTTTAAGACGCGTAAAACATCGAAAACGTGCCCGGACCACGCCATGTTAGTTCCCGTCCATGATAAATAAATAAATGTTGTATGAAAAATGAAATTTCACGAGTGTCAGGACCTACTTTAAGGTCTCCACATTCACGTGGTAAAATTTGTAACGAATCGGTACACCCAATTCGGAGAATATTTACATGAACAATTTGACTTCTCAGATGTAAATAGGCTGACTTTCATATCATCTGAAATCCATAATTTCCTAAGTGGATGATTTCCTCTCGGTAGCAATTTTTACTAGCCCAAAATTGATTATTCTAGTCATGTAATTCTTATAGTGGGTTTGGCATCACCTGCAATCGACGTGCAGCCACAGGTGTTGTTTCCTAGAAAAAGTAGAGAAATCTGAGGAAGAGGCGACTTTTTAAGAATCGGATAAAAATTACGCTTGATATCTCGATGTGTGGTGACTGAATGAAATTAACCCTTTGCGTTCGATGCCGCTATAGTGGCGGCCCTAGTAGCATAGAATAATTTCTAAATATTTCTTTGTAATCTTTGCTAAATATCTCAAGCGAAAGATTTTTTAAGATTTCTNATTATACTACTATTAAACAAAAAAATGCTTTTTTTGTATTTTTATTATTTACAAAAATGGCGGCTTGAAAGGCGATTTACCGGAGCACTGCGAAAATCGATGATCGTGCGGTGGGCACGATAATTCAGTCCAGGTTTAAGTTAGAACAATAAACGAAAAGGAATTAGTTTCTGTAGCCCAAAAACTAGCGAAATACGTAGCCGTTTTCAAAAATATGCATTTTCCACAAAATGGCATCGATTTGAAAGGAAAGATACGTATGTTGCCCTAAATTTCGTTAATTAATGTTGCATAAATAATGCGAATATCAATACATTGAAAAAACCATACGTATTTCTCTAGATAAACATATGACGAATAAAATAAAAAAAGAGTCAAGACGATTGATTGAAAATTGGCGGAGCTAGAGACCCACCGATTTGTAAAATGCAGTTTTAAGAAAAACGCGTTTACACCTATACACCTGCCCACCGCACGATCACCGATTTTCGCAGTGAGCGAGTTTAATAGTAGTACAATACCTTACTGTACTTTAATTAGGATAGAAACGTTTTAACTCTTAAAAAAAAATTCTTGAAAAAACCGAAATTTTTGGGTGCGTCAAAGTGGTGTAACCCCTTAATATCTCCTTAAAATCAGTAAAAAAAAAAGAGGAGGAAAATAATGCAATTGACCAATTTCTCGCTTCTCGCTTTCCGCTTCCCGTGGCTGCGCTTTTTTCCCCGGCACTCGCCGGACACTTCCGGAAACGGAGAGCGTGGTCGGTTCCTTCCGGTTCGCCCAGAACCCCGGAGAGTCGGGCCGGTCGGCGGAAGTGAGCATCCAGCAGCCAATGGACCACTTATCTCCCGGTTCCGGAAGCACGACCGACGTCTTCGCTTCGCAAACGTCCTACCGCAACCGCACGGGCTCGCGGCCGCTTCCGGAATGCGCCGAGCGTCCTGCCGACGAGCTGCTCACCCACAGCGAGTACCTTGTACAGGTGAGGAGCATACCCTACTTGCCCTACGTGGCCCACAAGCGACTGGTCACCATAGTGCACACCCCGGTGAGGGGCTGGTACCACTCGGGCACCCTGGAACCCATAAGAATTCACTCCAGGCTCAGACCGAGCGTCCTCGCCGCGGAGCTCACCAGGATACGCGACCTTCCGAGGCCCAGCAGCGTCTGCTACCTCGAGAAGTACCTTAACTCCAAGGACCACATCGTAAGTGCGGGAAGCCGTCTTCCCCTTGGAAGGAGTCCTGGCCGCCGCACAGTGGCGAAAATCACGGAAAAACTGGCCAAAAGCTCGAAAATTCAATTTGTATTTTGAAATTATTCGTCGTCAGATTAGGTAGAGTAATTTGGACATTTATTACCAAAAGAACGGAAGAATAATTGTTATGCCGCCGCACAGTGGCGAAGATTACGAAAAAAACTGGCCAAAAGCTCAAACCTTAAATTTGCAATTTGGAATTATTCATCGTCAGATTAGGTAGATGAGTAATTTGGACATTTATTGCCAAAATAACGGAAGAATAATTGTTATGCCGCCGTACGGTGGCAAAAATAACGAAAAAACTGGCCAAAAGCTCAAAAATTAAATTTCTGTTTTGGAATTATTCATCGCCAGATTAGGTAGAGGAGTAATTTGGACATTTATTGCCAAAACACTGGAAGCCTAATTGTTATGCCGTCGCGCAGTGGCGAAGATTACGAAAAAAACTGGCCAAAAGCTCAAACCTTAAATTTGCAATTTGGAATTATTCATCGTCAGATTAGGTAGAGGAGTAATTTAGACATTTATTGCCAAAAGAACGGAAGAATAATTGTTATGCCGCCGCACAGTGGCGAAAATGACAAAAAAACTGGCCAAAATCTCGAAAATTAATTTGCATTTTTAGCTAATCATAAATTTGTACTTTGGAATTATTCGTCGTTAGATTAGGTAGAGGAGTAATTTAGACATTTATTGCCAAAAGACCGGAAACTTAATTGTTATGCCGCCGCGCAGTGGCGAAGATTACGAAAAAAACTGGCCAAAAGCTCAAACCTTAAATTTGCAATTTGGAATTATTCATCGTCAGATTAGGTAGATGAGTAATTTGGACATTTATTGCCAAAATAACGGAAGAATAATTGTTATGCCGCCGTACGGTGGCAAAAATAACGAAAAAACTGGTCAAAATTTCAAAAATTAAATTTGTATTTTGGAATTATTAATCGTCAGAATAGGTATAGGTGTAATTGTTGGGGCATTTGGTGGACGCAAAAGAGAAACAATGGTCAGGAAAGAAGAAGAAAAAAGTTCTCTGTTACATAAATGTCAAAATCGGTCGAACCAGAGTAGCAAAAAACGCTTTTAGTCCGATATTTGCGTCCTTAGTAGATGAAAATTGCAATTAGGAATCACTCGTAAGGATCTCTGAGTTTATGATCCATACAAACGTAGAAAAAAAAGAAAAGATTTCTGGTAATGACTTTGTATACGTCTAATATATGTAAAGTGGCGTTCTTTTGGCTTGAAATACAGTGTGCAATAAGTGTGACAAAGGATACAATGTATACGTAAATAGACATTTGTATCCTGAGTGGATTTAGGGATCTCTCGTAGATCCAAGGGGTGATCATTCGGACATAAAAGTACGACAAAAGGATTACTCATTTTTTGGTTTACTTTGTATACATGTTGTTCTTTAGTAGCATCATTGTGGCTTAGGGTGCAATGACAAGTGCACCCTGAAATTAATTTAAAAGTAATTGATGCAGCTTCCAATTTTTCCACATGCATGAGTTTAAACCCTAGATAGACAAAGTGATGCAAAATTTGCATCAAATTTGCCTCATGAAAGATCATGAAATGAGTCATGAGGGTGTTGCTTACAAGTCCTGATTTGGAACTCATATCTGCAGGACACAATGACGAACCAAGATACTTGAATATGAAACAAAGTTAAGTACATGCAATGTCGCAATGTTTGTCCGCATATGTTCAGCTAAATTTATCTCAAGCATTGCTGATGAACAATTTCCGCATCCGTAGTTCATATTCGAGTTATGGCGCGATGAAAACAAAAACATGGAACAACGTAATGTTTAGCTCACATTTGTAGCATTAACTAATTTCATACAATGTTATAATTAATATTAAATTATCCATAAATTTTCAGCTCATAAATGTCGCTTATGGCATAACTGGCATATGACTCGATTATGCGGAAAATATATTGCTGCAACCATTTATGACAAATAGACCGGGAATTTTTATTCAAATTAATTGTATAATATGCGTACATATGTTGCAGACATTTCATGCGGCAAATGGCCTGCAAATTGTTTGTAATTGATTTCCCTCATCATATGATGATCATGAATTTCTATCTGGGACATTACCTTGAATTTGTTATTCCGATTATTATTACTTTTGGTATTTTCGTGCACGAGCGGGGATGCGTTAATTGGGATCAAAAAAATGAGGTATTAGTACGCGCAGGTATTTCAAGGCATTACATTTTTTGAAAAATAAAAAAGAAATCATTATAAAAATTGCACTAGGAGACCGTTTATCGATGCAATTAGCAGATGAAAATGAGGTATTGGTACGCGCAGGTATTTCAAGGTATTACATTTTTCGAAAAATAAAAAAGAAATCATTACTCAATTGCACTAGGAGGCCGTTTATCGATGCAATTGGCAGATATTGTGGCGGGGAAGGTATATAAGCTAGAGTAAAAAATAACCATTTCGAAATAAGGTGCGCAATACATAAATATTTGCCTATAGTACTTCGATGACGAAGCTCGTGAAATTCGTGCTAAAGCGGACTCTCTTCTGCGTCGCATCCACGTCTTCGTGCCCAGGCCTTCACCAAGGTAAGTTCATCTCACTTATATCCCCTAATTAGCCCAATTTCCGCCATTTAAGGTGAAGTGAAACACGTCGAGGATCTTGATCGACGTCGATAGAGAACATTTTTCTAAATCCCTACGTTGCCGACGTTCGTTTTTATATCGACAGCTGGGTCGAATTATGTTGGGTATTGTATCAAATGGCATACTCCACCTGTCGTTTTCGTACAATAATTATAAAGAAATCGAAGTAAAACTCCAGAAATCCTCTGGATTCATGCTTTCTGGAGCCCCAATTGACTGCAGAGGGACCCGGATTAAATTATATTAATTAAATTTTCACTCCGAGACGTCGTATTACCATCGTTTTGGCATAGAAGCGCATACAACACTTTTTTTTGCCTTTATCCCGTTTAAATGCACGTTTATCGATTACCAGACTGTTCTAAATTGTTGTACAATTGTCCTGGCCCTTTTGTTTCTCATATTAGCCTTCAATAATTGTATATCGATCGAAATATGAGAGCTCAACGCCATTTTGGTTCTGGTCTGGGCTGAGTTGAAACATTTTTTGGAAAAATCCAAATTTTGAATGTGTCAGGATAATTCTTAGATTATCAGGAGTGATGTGTCAAAGTTTCGGACAGTTTGGTCTAATACCCTTAAAAAGAAGTGTTGTATTCGTATCAACTGATTTGAAGGATGTTTCAATTCACCTTAACACATTCGCGACCGGGAAATTTTTTCCGTTTCAAATATCGAGTACCTGGGAAAATAATGAAATTCTGAAACTGGTTGCCGCAAACTTGTACAGTGTATCGTCATAGACATAAATTCACGTCAGCGGCAATCGGGAATCGAACTTGAAATGACGTGAATTCACGTCAGCGGCCGCGAATGTGTTAATTCCCCACATATTTTAATTACCATCAATACCATTAATTGTATCAATTACGTTTGGTACTATTTTCGATATTATAAAAAGCTCCTCTTACGTTTAACGCCGATCTTTTCTGCAAGAATTAAATCGTTTACCGCCTGTTCAGTGACTTCCTGGAGGAAATCGTCCCCGAGAGGATGCGAAGCGACGACTACGTCCGGCGTCTTCTGGGTGCCCGGAAGAACCTGAAGAAAAGCGACGTGGAGACCCCGTATTACTCCTCTCCGGAACAGCGACATCTCGGCGGCGGAAATCTCGCCTGCGTGAAATACGTCGCGGGTAAGCCGCAGCCTCGCAGAAAACCGTACATCACCGTCGCCGACCTGAGACCAGCCGACATCAAGAGCGACGTCAATCTCCTCAGCTATTACAGCAAGAATCGACAAGCGGCCGCCAATGCCTGTGAGTAGAGGAAAGCATCGATTTCCCGATCAAAGTAGACCAGGGTTTCCCAAACTTTTCCTGCAACGAAACACCTCGAATTTTTTCTTAATCTTCCTTAACGGCGTTCACCACCAAGTGGGGACGATGACTTCCACCGCTAGATGGCA